TTGCTCAAGCAATGCTCAAGATGATAGTAGGAGGTTTTATTGTCCTTGTAGGGGCTGTTTTGAATGAGAGGCAGCTAAGTGTAGTTAGAAAGTATACGAACATTTAATTTGTGAGGGGTTTCTCAAAAGTTATTATAGAGTATGGATCTATGGGCATGTGAAAGATTGATATATACCATGCGAGTACATCTCAATCGCGGCATGTGTTGTTGTTGTTGTGATGATGAGGAGGATGATATGGTTGATCGATTAAAGGACATGATTCGTGACGTGGGTAAAGAGGCTTTTGAGCAATCCCAAGGCACACAATAATATGTACAGTGATGCAGAGACACCTTATATCCAGGGTGTGAGGAATTTAGTTTGTTGAAAGCAGTGTTGGAATTGGTGAATTTGAACTTGAAAGCTAGATCTGGGTGGAGTGATAAGAGTTTCACAGAAATGCTTGAGTTATTCAAATTAATGCTTCCAAGAGAAAATGTATTGTCTTGTTTTCGTGTACTATGAGGCAAAGAAAATTTATTTTCATGCCCACTGGGCATAAGTTTAAAGAAAATACATACGCATGCCCGATGAATATTACTGCATATTGTACAGGAGAGAGCATAAAGAGGAGCAAAAGTGTCCTGTATGTGAAACACCAAGGTATAAAGAAAACAAGCTCCTATGAATGTGTTATGATATCTTCCAATCATTCCAAGGTTAAACGATTGTTTGCTAATGAAAAGGATGGAAGAATCTGAGATGGCATGCGGATGATAGGATTTCAGATGGAAGCTTCAACATCCCAGCCGATTCAGAGCAATGGAATATAAAATTGACACTTTGTTTCTTGAGTTCGGCAGTGATCCAGGAACCTCAAGCTTGGACTTAGTACAGATGGCATGAATCCTTACAACAGCCTTAACAACATACATAGTTCATGGCCTGTTTTGTTGGTGATTTACAACTTATCTCCCATGTTATGCATGCAACGCAAGTATATCATGTTGTCTATTGTTCATTTCGGGACCGAAACAATCGGGAAATGACATTGATGTTTACCTAAGACCCTTGGTCGAAGACTTGAAAAAGCTGTGGGAAGTAGGTGTGGATGTGTTCGGTACGAATCAAAAGGAGGTATTCAAGTTGCATGCGATGATCTTTTGCACCAAAAATGACTTCCCTGCATATGGAAATTTGTTCAGGCTACAGTGTTAAGGGGCATAAAGCATGTCCAATTTGTGAAGCAGGCACTGCTATCATCAACTTCATCATGAAAAGAAGACAGTCTATCTTGGCCATAGGAGGTTTCTTGAAAAGGACCACCATTATCGTAGAATGGGAAAGCTTTCTATGGTGGTTAAGAGATGGAACTGCCCAAAGCCATTGACAGGGGAGCAAGTTTATGAATTGGTGAAGATATCAATGTTACATTTGGCAAGACTTAAAGAATAGTGAAAAAAGTATATGAAAAAAAAATCGATCTCTTCTTGACCTTCCATATTGGCGCTATCTTAATGTGAGACATTGTATTGATGTCATGTATATGGAGAAGAATGTGTGTGATAGTATTGTTGGAACGCTTCTTGATATACCAGGCAAGTCAAGATGGATGGTGTGAAGGCAAGATTGGATTTGGTGGACATGAAAATTAAAGAAGACTTACATCCAAGGCCGGTTGGTAAGAGGACTTACTGTCCTCCGGCTGAACATACTTATGCAAGGATGAGAAAGAAGCCTTGTCAGTGCTTATACGACATGAAAGTTCCCTCAGGGTATTCTTCAAATTTTAAAAAGCTCGTGTTAATGAAAGATTTAAAATTAGTGGGTCTCAAGTCTCATGATTGTCATATAATGCAAACAACTATTACCAGTGGCTATTCAAGGCTTCTAGAAAGATGAATTGAGAGATGTCATAATTGGATGAATTAGAAATGAAGCATATCTTATCTTATGCCAACTTGAAAAGCTCTTTCTTCCATCATTTTTTGACATTATGATACATCTATTGTTCATCTAGTGAGGGAGATAAAGTTATGTGGCGCTGTGCATTTACGATGGATATACCCAATGAAAGAACAATGAAGTTCTAAAAGGACATGTGAAGAGTCCACACCGTCCTGAAGCATCCATTGTACAAAAAAATGTCTCTGAAGAAGCAGCAGAATTTGCCAAGATTATTTGAATAATGTACGACTATCAATGTACGACCTATTGGGTTGAGACAAATGATGTCAAAGATCATAGACGTGGCATTTCTGTGAAGACCGCTGATCCTCATGAATTGCAACAAGCACACTTACATATCTTGAATAATGTTGATCAAGTTCAAGAATATATAGATGTGCATAAAGAACTTGTGAGGAAGCAAAATAGTCGAATTAGGATAACTGAGCAAAGATTAATTAGAGAGCATAACAATACTTTTGCAAAGTGATTTAAGCAGAAGGTTGAGAAGGAAGATTGTGTTTCTGATATTGTTAAGGGGCTGGCACAAGGTCCTGAGTGTGATGTTATATGCTGGACTGCATTTGATATTAATGGGTATTTATTCTACACAAAGTCTCTAGACAACAGGAGTAATGTGCATAACAGTGGTGTTACGCTAGTGGCCTCAGGCATGCACTTCTCCAGCTCGAAAGACCAAAATCCTTTATTCACATCCATGCCTTATTAGGGGGTTATTGAAGAGATCTGGGAGGTTGACTATATTAAATTTAAAATCCATATTTCAAATGCAAGTGGGTTGATGTTAAAAATAATTTTTATCAAGATAGGATGAGATTTACATTAGTCAACTTGAGTACTTTAAGTTTTTGGCAATGAACCTTTTATTATGGCAGACCAAACGAAACAAGTGTTTTATGTCATAGATCCGAGAAGTAAAACATGGTCAGTAGTTCTTGAAGGAAAAAGAGAGGTTAATAATTGATGAGAAGGATTGTTCAAATTTCAATATTTCTGAGACTCCTTCTTTCTCATAGGCTTGCCTGTATTGAATGTAATGTAGAAGATGAATTGGATGACGAATATGGCACGAGAGATGATCATCACGAAGGGATACGGGAGAATATTGTTATTTAAAAATATGTTAAAAGTTAGTTATTTATTTACAACATGTATGATTTATAAATTGGTTATTTACTGTGTTTTATTCATATTAGAACATGCTTTATTTATTAGTTATATCACTGATGATTTTTACTTATTGTCTAAATAGGAACATGGAGGATCGGAGTGTTAATCAGGACCAGCCTGACCCTTCTACCCCGATTGTGTCTACCAGTGGTGATGGCTGTGTGATTGTTAGTCCTCAAACTGCGGGTAGCAGCCAATCTACATGATCCAAGAGGCCTAGAAGTGGCACACGATTGAGTTAGCTCTAAGTCGGAGCAAAGGCAAGAAGATTTGATCCAGTTTGATAACAATTGGAAGCCAATCGGGCCTAATGGGGCTAAGTTTACTAGTTTTTTAGGCCTCCAAGCTCGTAGTAAGCCAAGTATATTGGCACCCACATGGGACGATGTCCCAGAACAAGTGAAGGAACAGATATGGGAAGCCATCAATGTATGAGAAATGTGTTTTTTATCACTTGTTATCATTATTTGTTACTGATTATTATGACTATATCACTAACTATTGCAATGACATGTATTGCAGGTCACATACAATGTCCCTATGAGTATAGACTTTAAACATAGGTTAATGACCTGGGCTTATGATCATTGGAGGGGTTTCAAGACATCACTAGCTAAGAGATTTGTGCATATTAAGGTGCCAGAAGGACAGCCATGGCCTAATCCTTGTACCGAATACACATTTCTCGATACAGCTACTTTTGAAGAATTCGTTAGGCTTCGGACTACGCTAGATGCTCTAGTGAGTTAGATTATTTTAATTTATTTTTTTATTTATTTTAGTTATATATCATTGTCTTTATTAGATAACGAATATTGTGTAATTCTAATTCACAGGAAAGGAGGAGAAAGGCACAAGAAGTTGGAAGGAAGAACAATTGCCCCCAAACAAAGTCTCGTAGCGGTTATGTGTTAGTCGACAAGGAATTGATGGATGCCAAGAGGAGGAACAGAGAAGAACAAGCTCAATCAGAGATGGATTTATGCCCACAAGAAGAAGGACGAGTCCTTTTCAAGTCAGTATGCTTGTGAGGTTGCTCAGAAAATTGTAAGTACAATTGTCATTTGTAATCTTATTTTAAATATCAAATATTACTAATTAATTATTATTTATATGTTACAGGATGAGCTTAAACAGAAGCAATCCGAGGGATCATTCATCCCAGAGGGAAGAAATGATATCTTGGCTGTTGCTACGGGAAAAGGAGAGCATCCTAGATGTGTTGGGGATTGGGATCAGGGGTGAGTATAAGAGATGTATTTGGACCACCTCAAAAATGCCATTCTTCAGGACTCGTGACTAGGGAGGATGTGATGTTAGCTCAATCAAGGCTGAGGCAAGGGCTGAGGCTGAGGCTACTCTTGAAGCTAGGCTACAAAAGATGAAGGAAGAAATGATGATGATGATGAGCTCATCAAGGAGCCAAGTGGCCCACAGACTCACTCCCCTACTTGTCATCCGAGTACTAAGGGAGCAATATCGTTCCACTTCCTTCAGAGAATGACCCTGCTCCAGAGGGTGAACTATGCTACTTGTATGTGGAGGATCTAGAAAGACGCTTAGTAGCACACGGTTACATTCATGAGGGGTCAAAATGCGACTTCCAGGAAGTTCAAGAAGATGTTGTCAAGGTCACTGTTGAAGAGGTAAAAATCGATAATGCTTCTGTCCCATTCCCCACTGATGAGATCAAGACAGTGAAATGCCAAGGCACTTTTTGCTTATGGCCAAAAAGACTTGTTGGGAAGCCTCAAGATCCGGTAACAAATTTTATTAATTAATTGTAATGATTTCCTTATTTTAGAATGTGTTACTAATTTTTTTTTATTTAACAAGAAACCCCATCGTCCATAAAGTGGGTCGAAAGCCACAATTGTTCGAGCTAAGTCTATGGGACCGATTTGTATTGATGGCATATGGTGGATCATTTCCACCTCAGAGTTTTAAAGTGAATCCTGATCTTGCTGGCTTAAAACAACTATGAAATCTTTGTTGAGAATGAGGACCTCCGTTGGATTCTCATTGATACTGACCTAACCATGGCGAACATCCAAATTGGGATGATGTAAGTGTCTTCTTGTACATTTAAATGAAATTAAACAATTCAGCTTTTCAAACTAACTTGTTTTCATTTTGTAGGTTTTTGCATCAATTGCTAGTTTCCTCGGGTAAAGACAAACAATACGAATTTCTTTGCCCACATTACACTAATGATAAAGAGACCACCAAAGAGGCAAAGGAGGCATATATGAACTAGAGGCTCAGTGAAGGCGAAAAGGAGTGTTATTTTTCCATATTTCTCAATCTGTAAGTAAATATATTTGAATTTATTCATAATGGTATCGAATATTTGCTTAAATGACTTTTTTTTTTGCAGTACACACTGGCAATTGATAGTGTTTTTCGATGAAGAGCAATTCTATAATCTTTTTATGCTCTTTGCATCGTAAACTCAATCCAGCAATGAAAAAATCTTGCGAGCAGTAAGTGTGCTTAAGGAGTCTTATAATAAAATTTTTTAGTGATTAAGTTACTAACTATGTCATGTTTAATGATAGGGCTATGAGGATTGGCCAGCAAGTCCGGTTGGGCAAGGCCCCACGTGATGTCAAGGATCCTACATGGATAACACCAAAGGTAACAAGTTATACATGTTTTTATTTTATGTAATTTTGATGATAGAGCCTTCTTTCAGTATAATTATGACAATGTTGTGTTATTCTATAGAGCCATCGGCAACCCCCTATTAATTTATACGGCTTTTATGTATTGAGACATGCATACAATATCATCACCGCTGGCTTGACTGAGTTCACTGAGGAGGTAAATGTAATTTTAGATATTATTTTTTTTTTCTAATTACTAATTTAATTCCCTTATCCCTAATCTTTTCAGATGTTCAATGATCCATCTCCATTTTCGGATTCAGAGATCTATCAAATAAGGCAACATTGGGGACTCTTCATGTTTGATTTTCATAATAATCATCCTTTGGAAGAGTGAACTATGTAGTTGTAAATATTAGTAAATATAGTTGTGTGTAGGATTACTTAGTTGACAATTTATGTTTTATGTGTTTGGAATTGTACACAATTTTAAATTCATTTGATTTGAACAATATATGATTGTTTGGCTGGCTCATTGTTATTTGGCTATTATATGTTTGATTAATGCAGGATATAAATTGCAGCCTATAATGGTTGGGGTAAATGAAAAAAATGGGAGTAATTTTTATTTAGAAAAACAAATAGCTACACCGGGTTATGGATATAAACGGTGTAGATATATCATCATCTACACCCGTTCCATGAATAATCGGTGTAGATAATAATATATCTACACGGTTAGATAATAATAACAATATAACTTGGTGTAGATATATAGGTTATCTACACTAGTTTAGGCAATGATCGGTGTAGATATATGATTATCTACACCTGTTATATCCAGAACCGGTGTAGATATCAACTTTTAAAAAAATTACATATTCATAATTAATGTTATCTACACCGAATTTACAACCGGTGTAGATATATCCGTTAACTACACCAATTAAATAACCGGTGTAGATAACTTCATGATATCTACACTAGTCTTATCTACACCGGTTACTCAACTAGAGTAGATAAGCTATTTTAATCAGTGTAGATTTATCTGTTTGTACTAGTGGATGCTTAAAGTCAAAGACATGAGAGCATAGAATCAAGCAATGAAAGCAGAAGCTTCAAACAAAAGCATTTCTCCTTTTTATCTTGACTTTGATTGGCTCACCTGTTCATGTTGATTGAGTCACTCACTATAGAAAAATAAGTAAACAAAAATCTTTATTCCACAGTGGTTGCAGTAAATATGGTCATGACAATCTAAAGACACAACATATAATGTGCTAGCTAGATTATAATTCAGCAATAGTGTTAAGAAACGTCATGAATATGCAATTATGTGTGCTCGCTGTACCAATACTTTAACTTAACAAATATACTACTTATAATACCAAAAACTAACAAACCAATATATGCCAAAACTTTCATGCCCTAGCCCTAAAACCCCGAAACCAATCTCCCCCTGCATTAAACTAGTTCTCAACTGTCTAATACCATGAGTCGAATATACACAACAAAGAACCAATAGTTCTTATAAATTTTAAGATTTTGCAAAAATCTTGAGAAGGACAAGCTTACCTTCCAATTAATGCTTTACATAAGAGAAAAGAGGCGAAAGGAAATGCTCACCTGAAAATCTCAAATTTGTTTTCCTTCCTCAAAAGCTTAAGAATATAGATATCCTAGCAAGACAAAAGGATGATGACTGCTTTTATACTCAAAGTTAGTAGGTACGAAAGAAAGGAACATCACCTCTTTAGGTGAAAACCATATAGACAAGCATAAAGAGACAGCAGCGCTGTCAAGAATGGAGGCCAGAAAATAGCGCTACCATGAAGCATGAGCAAAAATAGTGGCTAAGTTAGTGAGCGTGAGAGAGATGCATATAGCAACAATAGTAAAACGAAGCTCCAACTGAGTTTTGCCTAGGATCCCTAAGAGGTGGAGAAGAACAGTCATGAGGAGCCAAAGGTAAAAATGAAGGGATGTAAATGCCTATCCAAGTATCCATGTCGATTTAAATAAAATGCGACGTGGCCTCTTAAATTTTTTTTAATAAATTATGTTCTCAACTTTTCAAGTCACCTTTTCGAATAAGCGACATGAATTCGTAAAACCATGTTGTTTTTCATGAAATGTGACATGGATAAACTTTATTACCTCACCTTTTTTAAAAGCGATGTGAAATTAGCGTATTAAAAGCCATCTTTTGTAGTAGTAGTGTGCGTTGAACAACATTCTTTCCCCTCTTCCTTTTTTTGGGGTATTTGCTTCATCATATGTCTTAGCGTTATCCCTATTATTATCCATTCAAGTGCCTTTGGCTTTTTGAGATCTAGCTTGAGTTTATAGAATAAATGGAGTTTAGGTTCGAAAAGAAAGAAACAAAGAGCAAAGGAAGAGGCATATTTGAGGTAAACTATGCTTGTTTGTTCATTCACTAAATGAAGGTATGTATGTATGTATGTATGTATGTAACACAAGAACATGAAATCTTGACGAATACAAAATAGGAAAATACAATCTAAATTTAATAACAGATCACAATAAATGTAAATATGATAGGTCAACTTAACCATATGTAAAAAGTTATACATAAAACACAAATTAATCCTAATCAAATTGCATTTGATTACTTTGATAATATAAAGGGTTAGAGTATATTTTTACCCCTTTACTTTTCTTCAGAGTGTTGGACATGCTATATTAATAAGTAGGGCATTTTTATCCTTAAACCATTTTCTAGATGAGCAAAAATCCCCTCAGTTAATGGAGGAGGATTTTTCCTCCTCTAAAAAATGGTTTAAGAGAAAAAATATTTTACTTGTTACTATAGAGTATCCATTGCTCCAAGAAGAAAAGTATAGAAATAAAAATACACTTTAACCTAAAAGTAAATATTAGTTACTACTTTAATTTAAGCAATAATTATTTTTCTTTTGACAATGACCAAAATGGTATACACGCAATTAGAACTTCTTCTCTGTAATTTGCATAAGGGAAGTTGTAATTGCTTGTTCCATTTTAATCATTACTAGCAAAAAAGTAGTTGCAGAGGTGAAGTTGTAATTGCTTGTTCCATTTTGATTATTTTCAGAAAAAAAATAGTCATTACTTAAATTAAAGTAGTCATAGATATTTATAGCAATTGGACTTGCAATTAATAAGTTATAACTCTCAAAATTGCTCTCACAGTTCTCTAATCTCTACAATTGCTCACACAAAGCAGTCGACAGTAATAAGTTATAACTGTCACAAAGAAACAATAGATTACCTGCAATTAAAAAATATATATCTGATGCAAAGTGGAAAAAAAAATTAATGCATTTATATGTTGGAAGTTATTTGAACTCATTGTTACCTTTTACATTTGATCTTTTGCAGTTGGATTATTTGCCGCCGAGTCAACCCTTTCATTGCAATTTTTTGAAGAAAAAAGGAATATATTAGAATAATGCATCTCACCATTGGCTATATAACGGGTTTGACCAATAATTATGAGCCAAAAACCTTCCCTTCATTCTTCCCTCTTATTTCTATCTCTTCTTCTCCGATTGCGTGTCATTTCGAATTTAACCCCATAATTCCTTCAAACAATGGCGGCTTCATGTTCTAGTTCGTTATCCATAAAACAAAGATGGTTCTATGACGTGCTCTTAGGTTTCAGAGGTGCAGACACTCATAACAGCCATCTCTACCACGCTCTAACATAGGCCAGAATCTTTACTTTCATGGACGACATGCAGCTCGGAAGGGGATAAGAGATTGCACGATCGTTACTGCAAGCAATTGAAGAATCATGGATTGGGATCGTAGTTTTCTCTGAGAATTACGCTTCTTCTAGCTAGTGTCTGGAAGAACTGGTGAAAATAATGGAATATAGAAGAGTTTGCATCAGGGAGGGGGCAGATATGGTGAAGCAATGAGAGAACATGAGCAATGGCTAGGAAGGAGCAAGAATCAGGTGATTCATTAGAGGACGGTGCTCAGAGTAGATATTTTAGGCTTAGCTTCCATTTTTTGAACGATCGGTAATCTAAACTGGCTTCCATATTTTGCAGGGAATACAAAGCAGGAAAAAAAAAGAGACAGCATGCAATGCAAGTTTATTTAGGTTAAATAATTAATATAAATGTAAAATAATAAATCTATAATGAATTGCAGCTTTGCTGGTTAAAAAAAATTCCAGTAATTTGAACTATGAAAAAAATAATATACTCAAACTATTTGTTTTCAATTAAATTGAAACATTTTTTCTTAAACTATTTAGGCATAGAGCTCACAACTTCTCTTTTTTAATGTAGCCTGGGGTGTCACTAAATTAAAAGATTCTAGGCATTTCTAGAATTCATTGGTTAAAAGTAACCTATAACAAAGATTCGAGGAATTATGTGATAACTAAAACATTGATTTAGTCTTCTTCTTTTTTTTTTTTCCCTTGATTTTGTTCGTATTTTTTTTTAAATGAAATTCAATCGACAAGTTCATATTGAGAGTGTGGAAGCCGCTAGTAGAAGTCATTCTACCTTGCATCTTTTGGCAAGTCCAAATTAATGACCATCGTGAACTTTATAAAGTAGCTACTATTATGAAGGGAATAGACAAAACATTTGAAATTGATTTTGCTTTTTGCCAAAACAAACTCAAGTTGATGTTAAAACCCATTTTCAATAACCTCTTGCTACTGCATGTCGATAAACACAAATATTGTTCTCCCAATCTTATCCCCTTTATTGCTTGGGCGTTTGCATGTAACATACACAATAATCAACATACCAAAAACAAACATATTCTTGGGAGGGAGGGGGACTAGCCGTGGTCATTGGCTCTTGACTTTTTAAATTTTTTTATTATTATATAATCTTTATATACTTTCATGGTTTGGCCCCCTTCAAGATTTACAAAAATTTTGTAGCATATATGATTTTTAATCTTGGCCCTCTCATAATTCACTACTACTACAAAAAAAAAAAAATAAATGACGATTATTTTAGCTCATAAATGACGATTAATACGTGTCATTTATGTAGCTGACGTTTAAAATCTCCCAATAAATGACAGTTATATAACCATCATTTAAAATAAAATTTAACAGAAGGCTGAGCCATATGAAATAATAAATGACGGGTAAATTTACCCATCATTTATTGTGGCTTTAAATGATGGGTTCAAAATATATGATGGGTAAATATTGTCATATAAATGACGGTTTATTTAGATAACCGTCATTTATTATATGGTTTTTCTTAATGAGAGCTGTTTTTATACCAACCTCCTTACAAAAAAAAAATCAAAATAGCAGCAGACAGCCATTTCAAATTTGAATATCAATGAAATTTATTGTATTTAATTTCAAATTAATCAATGACCATCTCTTAACTAATCTATATCAAGTAAACAAATGTAATTATATAAAATAAAATATTTTTAAAAATAAACTACCTATTAAAAATATAAACATACTAGCTACTTATTCGAGGTAGTTCTATTAATCTTCTTTGTATGAGGTCCATACTTGAAA